CATTTACCTTATTCAATCAGGCAAACACGTTTTGGTCCCACCGATGTCTCAAATCGCGTAGGTTTGTTAATTTACGAACAACGCTTTACATATCTCAGTAGGAAACAGACCTCCGGCCTGCGCGAATGCCATCGCCCCTTCACTCTCGCGCGGTTGCTCATGCAACGGTCTTATCAATTCCATTGGAAGAAATGATTCGTAGGTAACGTTGTCTTTGTCTTTGCGTCATCGTAGGTTGTTCTTCCTCCGCCGAAATCACATCGATAACGGGCAGTTAAGCCAGTTTCTCACAGTTCTTTTGTAGCTACGTCTTCGCGGCACCCTTTCGCTACCTGCTTGTTTTTAAAATGGGTGCGTGCCTGCGTCGAGTTAGCGGGCGAAAGGGCGGTAGGTGTCATGCCGAATCAGTGCGATGAAGGCTAGGGAAAATAACAGGATATAGATAGTTCTCGGAATGTAGACGAAGCTTTCTGTTTTTTCCCTTGTTCCCCGTCCAGCCCATTCCTGTCCTCGTACCTTCCTTTCAGCCGAACGCCAAAAAGCGTGCGTGTGGACGAGCATGTCTGCAAGAATTCCTGTGAGAACGTCCGTCTGTTTGTGCGTCAGTCTCTACAACTCCCGACAGTGTTTACGAGGCAGCGCGTGCCAGCGGATAAGAACTGAGTATGCAAGCAAAGGATACATCTGGAATGCATGGATGCTGCAGCGATTTATGAATGTAGAACGCAGCGTGCGTATGTTGATGTATCGCTAGGACTGGCTTTGTATGAGAGAAATTAAAACAGTGCGATTGAATGAGTGCTAAGTCCAAATAAAGGGTGTTATCTCTCAGCGACATGCACTCACAGACCGTAGTACCCCCATGAAGCTAACTGATTTGCTGATCGATGGCAGTGATTTTAGTGGGAGTGCTGGTGGGGGCACGAGCGAATAAGTGTGCCGCAGTGCCGAAACTGTATGTGGAAACGAAAAGAGGGAAAAGAAAAGAAACAGAGGAGTAATCATGTACGTCACGTCGAGTGGGGGTTGAGAGATCAATAGTAAGGCGAGTGAGCGAAAAAAACAACGACAACACCAAGTCGATGGTATGGCCGTATCGAAATACGAGCGGTGACGCCCTTGCAGTGGGTGCCGGCGTATGACAATGAGCTGACGTGACAACGAGATAAAGACGTGAACTGATCTGAGTCGTGATAAGAGGGGTCAAATCGAGCTAGGGACAATATGTGGTACTTCAATGATGAAAGACGTGTTGGACATGAAACGGCAGAAAAAATAGAAGTGAAATAGCGGAAAAATAATAATGAGCTGAGATAATGCTGACAGAGGCGAAAATTCATGATGTGATAAGTAGCGGTCGAGTTGGAGATGCGGCAAACACTCTATGTACCTACCCATGTTGTACTGATGCTATTTATGATGTTAAAGAAATATAATGATGACAAGAATGATGACAACGATGATGATAATAATAATAAATGACGGCTAATCAATACGGCTTAGGTAAAATGATAATGGTGAAATTAATTATTGATACTGATGATAAGTGAAGCTACTGATGAAGAACAGGAAATAACCGTGGTGAGAAAAAATGATAATGATAATAACAGTTAAGGATATGGAATTATGAAATAAATAAGAATCATGGCAACGCTACAATCTGTGTGCACACGGACAAAAGATGCTTATAACTATTATTATTATTTTAATTAAAAACTGGAAAAAGGATGACTCGAATTTGAGAAGAATGAGGGAAAAGTCAACAATGTAATGAACCACTACGATGGCATTGAGACGCTCCATGAGAGTAGAGAAAATTATGACAACAGCGCAACAACATTAAATAAAATAATGAAATAGAATAAAGACATATTGATAAATGGTAATGTGCCATCAAGAGTGATCGAAAACTAATAAATTATATATCGTAAGACAATGATCACTCCTCTGAGCCTTTCTTGTTCTTCATATTTAGTCTTTCATCAGGGTTGATATATGACCAGTTGGTTCTAATAAGGGATTAGTAATAGTATTATAGGTATTTCTCAAGGGCAATGAGAGGCGAGTGAAGGACATCAGTGTGATTGCCCTTTAAATTTTCCGAAATATCAGTTATCGGGACTATGAGTTCGAAGTAATAATGTACGGATTTAGAGACTTTCATTCTGGGCCTAGTTTCCAGGACATACTTATTTGTTGAAACTATAGTAACCGTTAGGAATTTCGAACAATGTGTGTTTACAGAATTTTCCCGAAACAGGAAAATACTATCGTTTACGTTAAAGTTGACCTTAGTAAAATCCTGTCGAAGAGTGCTGACGAATTATTCGCATAATAGGTAATGTAATTCAATAATATCGAAAGCAAAATGATACGCTTAGAGTCACTATGTAGCCGTCAATCTAATAATTTACGATTCATCACCATATGGAGTTCATGAATATGAAGTCACCATGGGAGCTTCATTAACATATGCAGCCGCTAAAATGTACGAAAACATTTTCTTCATCTAGCATCTAATTATGGCTGAACTACTTTGCAGTAATAATTACGCGGCGTTTGGCGTCTATGGGGAGATAAATTGGCTGCGTCAAGGGATGTAACATTGGTTTTTATTACGTAATATATATGGCCATTTTATTCAAGCATCGTGCCCCCTCTGCCCCCAATTTTGAAAGAAATTTTGCAGATAGTACTAGCAATCATTGCCCTTTCTCTGGTTTGTTTACTTATTCTTCTGATCTGTACGTTGACGCACATAGACACTCATAACGTAGACGCGAGCTAAAACGCGCCATCTAGAGAAAAAGGAGGAGTATCGTCTGGGCAGTTGCTCTTTGTGCTTCTTTTCTTTCTAGTGTTGCACAGTGATTCGGGAGAAAGGCGAGTTCATTCAGAGGTTGTTTTTTAAGACTCCGCTAGAGAGTAACACCGCTTGTTAAAAAAGATAGATTGCAGGCATTCCCGTTTGTCTCCTGTGTACCCCGCCATCTTTTTTTTGTTCAACTCTAATGTTTGCTACCGCTGCCTGTTCCACGACAGCAGCTTCTGCAGGTGCTGTCCTACACTGCATAACTTTCCTATGTCCGTAATCTGCCTTACCCTGCCTCCCCACCTGCTCAAGTAAGGCTCGCAGCAATCTCCTAATGCCAAGCATCGGCCCTGCGCTGTCGCCTCATCGACCAGCATCGTTGTGAACATCTCGAGGATTGCCGATTGGCTGACCTGGTTCGTTTTTTTTGCAACTTTTTTGTGCCAACAGCCGACAACACCAGCAAAATACAGTCTTCACCTAAATGGAGCGCAAAGCAACTTAGTAGTGGGTACGCTGTGTCAGCCGCAGTACGGTTGACATGACGCGGTAATGTAACACAGTGGGTAATGTAGGACCCTGCAGTCACATGGCCTGTTTTACTTTAGGCATTCTCCGTAATCTCTCCTTGGGTGAGTGGCTGAGCGTAGCTACCCGGTACTGACCTTTGTACGCAAAGACCCTGACTACTTCAATTATGGATACAGCTGGTGCGGTATGAATTGTAGATTTGGTGGGGATCAGACAGTGAGCACTTGTCTCAATAGATATAATGAAAAAAAGTAAAATGTGGGTATACGTAAATCCGCTAGACTGACCAAACCATATCTCGAAAAAGCTGAAGATCTACGAATTAATAAGCAGAGTTCGTCAATAATTTCTTACACTTTTTTCAGGGAAGGTAACGAAAAAGAATGTACTGGCTCTATTGTTATTTGTTTCTTTCTGTAAGTTTAGCCTTGTTGCGCATACTTAAGTTGTTAACACTTAAGTTGCGCAGGTCGGCTTTCGTCCTCATCGAATGAGTGGTTATGAGCTAGCGGCCGTCTTTCTTCGTTTCCAACTTGTGTCTGACGTTCTATTTCATCTCACTGACGTAATGCCCGCTTCGAGGATGTATCAGCTCACCTCTCGGAGGAAACACTGGCCTGTGACACTAACCGAGCACCATCGCTGTAAGGTACGACCCGTCAGGGTTCATCACAGCAGAGACTCTAGTCCTGTGTTAGTCACGCAGTTATCCGTTTTAGTCCTCCGCAAGACCGGAGCTTCCAGCATAATGAGATCATTCGTTCTTATTTACTTACTACTTTCTTATTTTTTTACTTGACCATTCGATTACTGATCGCGCAACCGTCCTTACCGGGGATTGTACCGCTGTTACAGTAGTATTATGGGAGACTCAGTGGAAGCACTAGATGTTGGTATAAAAAGGCCAGCGTTTACACTCGAACAGTTCTACCTTTAAGGCCCAGGAATGGGCTAAGGCGAGGTCTCTTGAGGCTCTCCTCGCCTTAGCCGGCTGGCCTACTCGACTGAAGTTCTGTCGACCTGCTTGGTCTAATCTATGTGGTGTGAGTTGTTGCTACAAAAGTCTGCGGCGTTACACCCTTCTCCTTCGCAGCGGGTTTACGCGGATAGCCAGCTCTTGACGCTTGTGTTTCAACTCCAGCCACAACTCAAGCATCAGCAGATTCTACTTTGCAAATTTTGCTGTACAGCTTACCTATATAAAAAATTACGTCTCAATACCTTTAGAAGCTGCACAATAGAATCCGATCGGCTATAGATAAGTCCGCGCCAAACTTGCTCCGCAGGTAGACATTTGAAGACAGGATGTACCCTGGGCCGTTCGGTAAAACGACGGTAACACGAGCGAGTAAGGTGTATATCTGTGTCGGTTTCTTTCTCGAGTACAAAGTTCTGTGCGACCGCACGTCGTAAAGGATCTTTACGACAATGTGCAGTTATCGACTATTACACATTAGTGTCAGTAGTAAAGGAATTAATTTATATAATAGAAATAACACTAATAGCAATAAGATTTGGTGAAACTTAAGAAATATTCATTTCTTTTCCATAGCAGATATTGTCACGAAAGCTACCTAGACGAAGATCAGAAGCGCCGTATCCTGAAGACTTTCCTTAAGCATAACTTTATTTCTATCTCTTTCCTACACAACTACTATTCGCTATTCGGCCTCTTTGCGTACATCCCGTTGTGCATTTTTAGTACACAAATAGGTTCGACCTGTTTGCGCTATAGGTTTGCCGCCATTTTGCAGAGTCCTAATTGGCGGGGTTAGCCGCTTTGCTCCAACTCATCTGCCTCTGTATAGGCAGGCCACACAAAAGGCTTCGCGAATTTAGCGCTACTCTAAATTCGACTTTTTTTCCGACGATAACGGAGCGGGGGAGCAGAGTCCAGTCGACTAAAAGCGGTGGAAGAAAGCAAACCCCAGAGTCGTCCAGGTTGACGAACTGTTTACTGTTAGCCATCTCTGGGTAATGGCTGGGTAGTGAAAACTAGTATTTAACTAGAGTCTTCAGGTCCAAGTCGGCTCCACAGGCGAAAGGCGAATTTTGCAGCAGCAGCAGCAGCAACCGAAGGGTACTGAAGGGTGGAAATTGAGTTGCTCAGCGGTGCAGTACTATCGAGTCGCCAGACGAGGCGATCGAGTAGACTACTAGCTATGAGGCCTGTTTGACTTTCTTGGCCATTGCTTCTATTGCCGGCACAGCTACTGCTGCTATCATAAGGGAGAGTAGCTAGACGTACCCAGTCAACAATCAGGAACTGCATTACGCAACCACGGGTACCCCTTTTATCCCCCGGCGCGCGACCCATGCAGCTGATTCTATTCTTTATCTCTCTTGGCAACGGCGGTGTTTGGCTACTAGCCGATAGCTCGTCTGCAATCCACAAGGTGTACTCTGGCTATTTCATCTCGTTCACTGTCGGCTACCATCTGTAGAGGCCAATGGCTAAAAGGGTCTTGCTTCTGACCTACAAATGTTGACACGACGCGTTGGAAGCGTGGGCGGACAGTGAAGTGGCTTCAAGTGAGTGACCGGTATGCGGCTGCGAGGTCTGCGCGTCGCAGATAACAGAACCGGACTCACTCGTAACAATGCAACGGAACGCAATAGAGGCAATGTAGAGGAGCTAACAAAGGTTGCGGATGGCCTGCAAGCAAAGAACAGGCCCTTACAGGCAGCTGATGGCCCTGTGAACCGTCGGGGCCAAATTCTGTGCAAGTTTTTGTTTTTTCGCCGACAGCGACGTTATTTTAGCTCCAGCAGTGCCGCGAACGGTGCTGCTAACGAGCAGAATACATCGAGAATAATCAAAGCTAATACTGTTCGACGAGGCTCACAGATGGATAGCTTGGATCATTCGGCTAAAAATATTTCTGGCGTCGTACGCGGCCCGCTTTACGGTAGAGAGAGGGCGCGTCGCTGTTCATGTAGCTGGTTGTTTCGATGCTGGTCAGGTTTTTTTCGTAAGCTCGGCGAAGTTTGTTCGTGTTCTTGCCGTGAGTGTGGTGTATAAGTTCGAAACTGTGAAATGATTATACGACATTTTTTAAATTCGTATTTTACAGTTTGTCCGTTATGAAAATGCGTTGTTCAGTATATAGTTGCCGTCGTCCAAGTTGCATAAAGTTAGGCTGTAAGAAAGAACTAACGTTCGTGATGAACGGTTCAAAAGCAACCCAATAGCTAGGTTCATCATACTCGTGATGGTTAACAGCTGGATAACATTAGTATATTATTAGCGGTTTTCATATCGTTCCTTTTTTCTTTTTTTTTTTTTCTACTTCAACCTATTTTACAGGTAGACGTCGTCAATATGCAGATGCTTTTGGACAAGACTCTTCGTATAGCTCTGCTATATCTCCTGGTATATTACGAACAATTGCAAGGTATGTTAATTACTAGGTACTAACCGTCAATGCTCACTCTGGACGGCAGGTTCTTGTAGTGCGAGCTAATATATACTGGAATTGACGAGACTTTTCGCTATTAAAGCGTGATTCTCAACAAGCAGACAATTCTCCAGAAGCGACATTACCTTTGTGGTTATCAAATTTTATCTGACTGCAGTATAACGCGCAAGTAGAATGTGGCATGACGACCCCTAGACCCAGATACACTCGGTGGTCTTCGGAGCAAAATTAACATTCCAAGTGAATTTGTGCAGAAAATAATTCAACCAATTTCTTAACGCTGACGTGTTTTGTTCTGCAGTTATCAGTTAAAAGTCCAAGGCGCACCTACAAGTTCCCTTTCTTACGCCGCTTCTAAAGGTTTGCCAAGCCAAAGGGGTGGTCTCGTCATTATGGAACCACTCGACAATTTTTACTTCTCTTACGAAACCTCAGTAGAAGGGCCGCACCTTGAAAACGAGTGCCATCTTCGCCGCAAATGCAAAGTTTGTACACGCGTGTTCCGCGAAACGCGAGAATCGACCGTACCGTACGAATGTCCGGAGCGGTGTCTTTTCTTTGCTGAAAGCACGAAGCTACCAGTTCTCGTACGTAATATATAGCCTATTTTACTTCGAGTGGGCCAACATTAACCGGAAGAAAGCTGGTCTAAACCGACTAAGTAGGCCGTCAAGGATACACCGAATAAAAATGCCGAATGTCGCAAACGCCAGACGTCTGGTCATGGTATCAAAAATTGATATCATGCAAGACGAGTCGATCTACGAAGATGAAACGCGTGGGGAAGACGGCTGTAAGAGATAATCAAAAAGTATATTCTACGTAAGTATGTGTAACTGAAGTGCATGTGGCTAGCGTACAATGGGGGCTCACAAAGACCACACTTGACATTTCGTAGCAGTGAGACAGTATGGATAACAAGTTGGCGGTTTACAGTTAATGGCCGTGGGCGAGGTAGACACGGCGGTTAATCGCATGGAGCCGTCACTTCGCTCATAGACACAAGGAACGGGAACGCTTGCATTGCACGGGCGCAAAATGTTTTCTCTCGGATCTAGAAGATTTTAGGGAAAATTAGTGCGATGCGTTAGCAAAAGGTCATTCTAATCCATGGTATACCCGCGTCCCGTTTAGCCCCCAATCTGCTGACATTACTATTCGTCGTGCTACCATCACTAATCTCGCAGCAGGCAGAATTGCTCCATTGTTATATCACCCGTTCAGCGGACTGATAACTGTGCGGGCTGACGCCGGACGAAGTCTACATAGCGCTCACGACCGTCCATTTCCCAACTATTTGCCGTACCGCAGGAATACCCAGTGACAAAAACCAAAGTCAGTGATTCTCGTAGTACGCCAGGTGCCGTTTTCAGGCCGGGAATGTTTGACCTTCATCATCTTTCGCAGAGCTTCTTCTTGTTTCCCTTTTCGACCGCTCCAGCACGATGCTGGCCGTTATCCGTTTAGGAGCTAGCAATTCTTCGCCTCGTTTGTCCGCTCACATGAAGCGTATGCTCCCCTAGCTGGTTCAGCTCCTACCTTCACTGCCCGCTCAAGTAAGCGATTGGTCGGTAGCGCTAGCTGTCAGCTAACGGTTCGCGCCACTGGCTCAACGTACCAGTGCTCATGAGTGCGTAGCACGAACGCGTGATGCTAGAAGGCGTTGATCTGCTTCGGCCACATTTGCGAGTCGATAGAGTGATGATAAATTCTTATCTAATCCCATGACAGGAGAGTTAGGCTTGCTAGCTCGCATCAATTTTTGACAGCGTCGCTTCTGAGGTTTTTGTACGCTAGCCTCAGGACAATAATGCAGCGGTATAGAAGGGGCGTCGAAGATAGGCACGTAGGCACTTTAAATGTTAGATGCAGCCTGTCTCAGGAACTTGTCGGTTGATAAACACAATATAAAGCTGGGACTTGAGCTGCGTCGGTTGCTTTGTTATTGGTTGCTTTAGTCGACGATAGGCGAGCGACTAAAATTTAGCGAACATAAGCCGCGAACGCATGTAGCCGGCTGCTGCTCTGCGAAGGTCTGAACGCTGTCACGGAAATCCGGCCCGATACGGGCATCGACAATGAAACCAGTTCACGGCTGCAGCCCGATCGAATATGGATCGTGTAGTATCTTCTTTTATCGGGATATACTTGTATGGTACGGAATGTATGGTAAGCCAATACAAGGTCTGAAAAAAGTATTCAACGAGATATACGCGAATTCTGCCGGTGGTAGTTTTACTAGCCCACACTTTGCTACGCGATGACACTGCCGTACTGCATCTTGTGCGCACCGTATTTGTAGTTGTAGTTGGGACTATCTGTCCCGTTAACAGAGCTTGAGCTGAACTTAGTCTAATTCGACTCTGGCGAAATCTCGTAACTCTTACTTAATTTAATTTCAGTAAATTACCATGTGTCACAGAAATTGGCCTACCTATTGCGATAACTTCCGAAACATTTTCCCGAAATGGCTAACTGCGAACAATTTTAAGTTAGACGGCATAGAAAGGAGCGACAATCGAGCTTTTGAACAACGGCAAACAAGAATAAAGTAACAACAAGTTTTCTCAAGACTCTGTGTAAGGAAGGAGTGCGAAAATATAACCGAACTACGTGTTGATACTGCCGTAGTGGTAGTAGGCTTGAAATCCAAAAAGACAACGGGATCTTGCCTATGCCCCTTGCACTTTGGTAAAACAACGGAAAAATAGGGGCTGTAATAGCGGAAGCGGCTTCACTTGTGCACCCTGAACGGGCTTGGCAATGTAGGTGACTCCATTATGTATATTATAAATAGATGCGGTGGTCCTACAATAGCGAATACCATAGTCATCAACTAACGGTGCTTTGTGTGTAGTCACTACGCCGACCAGATCAATGTAGTGGGGTTGAAGAAGAGCTAGGATTTATAAGGGAAAAGGCTGGATAAAGGTGGTGGCGGTACAAGAAACTGGAGCCGGTCGCCAATTTTGCTGCTGCTGCTGCTGCTGCTGTTACTGTTTTTCAGCCGGGGCAGTCGTTCAGATAGACGATCAAGACCGACCGGTTGCTTCCGCTGGTACTTCCGTTGGTTTACTATGTAACAGGATAAAGTAAGACCGAAGAGAAGTTGCACAGAGGCCGTGGTCCTGTTTGTGGTACGAGAATAAGTGGATCGGACCACAAACAGATAGTAGTGAATTCGAGCAGAACGCCGTCACACTTACGGGTACTGAGAACATTGATTCAGCAAGGACTGCCGAGACAGGGAGTACTGCTAGTTGGCTGCTTGGTCTCATGGGATCTAAAGCGAGGATCGACTTTGCTGTTTCCGCCGCTTTTCTGCACGTTCGGCATCGTATGGCCCGTTTGTGCCTTGTGATTGCCGGCCTACTCCACGTCGATAGTTCACAACTCGGTCCTGTCAAAAGAAACTGGAAGATTCTATTCTATACGAAGTTGTTAAAAAGACGGCGAGAGGAACGCAACAGTGGGTGTGGTGTGTGCAAATGGAGACTTCAAAATAGTACAGTAGCACGATGGCAGGGTTGCGCCGCTGGTTTCCGATGTGTCCATTGAGCTGTTGGTTATTATATCGACAAATTCGGAAGAAAGTCGAAAGCGACAAGGAAAGACGAACCGAATAAGGCGCGGCGGGAAAAAGAACAGCACGATAAGGACCAAAAGTTTTAGCTGTCTTATGCTTTTAGGGACGTGGCAGTGCTCCTCCATTGTACACCTTCAGGGTATCGCTACATGATAGAGCACGGCGACCAGCAACGGAGTGAGTTTGTCAAGCGGTCGCAGTCACAACGTAGAAGCTGACTCCTCCTCAATTGCGCACTACGAGTGTTGCTAAGCGATCGGACGCGAAGAAAAGACTTCTGCCGTACAAGCACGCAACCAAAAGTGCACGCCGAACGCGTGTAGTATCCTGCGTGCACGTTTGCCTGTGTGCTACATTACGCGCGAGTTACATCATTACGTCATAGTTGCGTGGTTTTTCAGAATTGCGTCTTCATACAGTAAGTCTAGCTTAGCTAGCCTATGCAGTGAATTTATAAGCAGGATAACAATGAGCTTTCAAGGAAAATGGGGTCTTTTTCTAGCATAATGCCTAAGACCATACGCTATGTAATATAGGGCGTTTCAAAGTTGATGGCTCCGTTATGATTAGGGATTCTTATGTAAATGAGGTCATTTTGGTCATATGCGTTTCTAGATGTAAATTGACCCGTGGTGGAAACGACGGGATTTCACGCCTGGAGCGTATAAAGAATGTTATTTCGACTTAACCGATAGAGCGCTATGGTTGCTATGCCACAGTCTACTGCTTACGTCTTTGTTTTCCCATTGCCAATCGCAAATACAGGCCGGTAATTGACATCGAGGACCTTCGAGCTCTTCTACAGCTATTTATGTGAGAGACGACTATTTTCGATATTCAAAACAGCATAAGCTTCAGCGAAACGAGAAATGTTTGTCTTTATTAATATAAGCGTTGGATTCTTTCGCTTTGCTAATACGCATCCTTGGTAGAGAGGACATAGTTCATGGCCTGCCTAAGTTGGCTTATGTCAACCTTGTGTATAAGGACAATTAATTTACGTGTTAATTTGTTTGGAATCAAAAAAATCCTAGCGTTTCAGTTTTCATATGCATCTGCAAGTTTTTGTTGCTCAAAACTGAGCGATACATCATAAGAAAGCTTCACTTAATGCGTCTTTAATAGAAAACGTATTAACCTTGGAGGTGAAGTTGCAACTTTTGCTTTTACTGGCTTCTACCTTTTTTTTTATCAAGCTCAGAGTGGCCGAAATCACCAAGGCTGGCAAAATTCCGCAAGTGGCTTACTCATATAAAATAGCACGCTTGCTCTCCCTGTTTTAGGGCAGCAACGAACTCATAACAATACATAAGGGCTTAAAAAGATATGTATAGGGACTGCTTTGCCGAGTTCAGTTGAATATCGGAGGAATTGGCATCAGCCAACGTAGATGGCCTATGGCATAATATCGGTCGGATGCATGCGAAACTTCGATATATATCCAGTCGAATATTTCACCCAACTATATTAACCAACCAAGTGTCATATATAGGCGGTTAACTCGCAAGCCAGCAGTATTCATATCACCTAAACCGCTACGAAAAGCTTGTCTGGTACCAATTCTTCCTAACCTTTATAAAGAAGGACGTCATACATTATTAACGATCTTGGTGTCTTGCTTGGGTTTGTCAAGGATTTTGTGTGTAATATACGCTTCGTCCCGATCAGCAAAAAGGAGTACATGTAAACACGATGTCTATTAGAGTGGACTCGCTTTGCTTTTTCGTTGACAGGATCCAGCATTTTACAGCCACTCTCTCTACGCTTACATAGCTGTATTTATTCATACATTCAAAGTATACTTTATTTCCTAGAATTCAACAGATGGTTTTGGCACAAACTTCCAGTGCGCTGTGTAGGCTTTCAACTCTTTTCGTGCGCTCACCGAGTGACTTTCCGAGCCGATTGACAGTGGGCACAACTTAAGCCTTTCGAAACTATCGTGTGTTCGCATCAACGGACCGACACGTCACCTCCCGTCGCCTTGAAATGCTGTAGTAATACTTGCGATGACCTGAACTACTCCCTCTGCCCCACAGGGTCTATGTCCTACGTTTTCCACCGGCGGATTAGCAAAAAAGATTAAAAAAGATGTATATCTGCGAGCTTCTCTCGGGGTTGGCTTACGTCCCAGACATATACGTAAGCACCGTAGGCATTGTGCCATTAGATGACTAACAGTGATTTGCAATCTGGTAACTGGCTACCTACAACAGCACAGGTCATGATTTAGGCCAAAGCAAGAAAAGATGCCAAGTAAGAAGCGGTCTGTTTCTCCACATTTTAGCGATTACTGATGTTCACCGATGGCTCACTAACAGATATGCCGCGAAGTCGGCATGGTTGTAGAATTTGCAACCTAACTGATAGGCTCGCCCGAGGTCTGAGCCGCATTCCCATCGCCAAGCCAGATGATGCATGCGTAATGCGGTACTCACGCAGTTTGCTAAGCCACTGCTTAAAAAATTAAACTATAATTCTAAACTTAGCCATTTTAGCGAGGACCATTTGGTACTCGATGGACGTCTCACCAGTTCCCCCTTGCGACCAGGAAGTCTGATTTCTCCGAAGAAACGCCTTCCCACAACTTTACCTCGGTTTCCCCACGTATCCCCTACACGGACTTCGAAATTAAACCCGAAATTAAAGGCCCGAATTAAATTATTACAAACGAAATTAAAACAAGCCCTCTAGATGCTTGCCTGTCGACCTGGATGGCGGCCATTTCTATTCTTTGTAAGCTGCTCGTACTTTTCGGCTCACCTTTTGGACTTCCTCTCATCGGCCATCACTGAAGCGACCAGTAGTTAACCAACCGGTCAAGCAACCATCCCTCATTCTTTCAAATTCGACCATATCGCCAGTTATCCCACTGCTGCTAAAACGGGCGGGCCGGCTTGGTACTATCGTTAGAAGGAAGGAGCGCTGTGAAACTAGGCGCTCTGCGCCTAATAAGCGCAGACGCGTGTTTAAACATATTTAAATAGTATAGTAATAATAAAGTAAATCCGAAGGACTTTTAAATCCTTTGTCCTTAAAATCCTTAAAATCTTTGTTCTCCGGTTGTCCCTCTAGGGCAAGGAAAGCCTCGTGATCACACGCATTTACACTGAGAGAATGGGCGGATTAAAGCCAACGTTGGTCATTTCGTTGCTCAATCAATGAAGTAAGTGGAGAAACATTGCGAGAATGTCTGGTGTTGTCATCGACTGCATGCTTTCGATTGCCACCGTGCCGACGATCCAAAAGTATTTTAAGGAGTTGAAATAACGGTTTTTGGAAGCATCTTCTAGTAACCAATTGCCACTGCAAGTACCACACGAACCCGCCCTAAACTCCCCAGTACGAATCTTCTTCTAAAATTGTCATTCTTTAGCCTGGTCCTTCTTCGGCTGGTGATAGAAATTCAATCACGCCTCGTCTGTGACGACTGTACCCAGGCGAGATTGTTTGTTTATTGAAGTTCTTCAGAAAATTCTACGTACTCTGCGTAGAGTACACGCATTTCTAATTAGCCTGGAATCACACGGGACCCATTTTTTTTTACTCTTCTGCGATTATAGCAATGCGTTGTACTTCGGATCCTGGCATCTGATCATTGTCTCGATGATTTTTTACGCTCTTCAAACGTTCGCGCCAATCATATGTTACGCTTTCTTTAAAGGTCTCCCTGTCTAGAGCCTTCATCAATCCTGGATGAATTTCCAGAAAGCTGTGGCCTTCGAGGAACGGAATTTTTACCAAAAAAGTTTACCGTCGAAAATAAAATGTTATTCTTTATGAACTAATTTTTTCTGAAGTAAACTCAACCAGTTTTCACTTGTTCTGTATAAAATAAATACTGGAGTCCTTACCAGCAAAATTTGGCCTGCTAGTGGGACGTAGTTAAAATTTTTGTTAAAATATACTAACCAAAAGTGAGCGAGTTGTTATAAAACACAATAAAATCAGGTCAACATACATTGAAGTTATATGGGACTACAGCTCTGCCGTTAGTTGGGCTACCATACAGTCGCAAAATTAATATATGTCTGAGTAATTAATATAATAGGAATATGTCAAAGCGACACTGCAGACGCCTTTGATAAAGACCAATCACCTTCTAGTGCTTTTTTTTAACAAGTCGTATGTCAACCAAATATGTATCATATAGACACTCGTTATACAGTATTTAGTAACGATATGCAAAAAATGATTGTTATCAAATGTGTTTATTTGACGATAGCAGCCTAACACTTCTAAACCCGCTCGAGCTTGCAATATTCAGGCATACATTTGCACATCGTTCTTTGTTGCTAATGCTAGAAATGTCAACCCAGATGATCTATCTTCAAGTGTAAGTGTTACCATTTATCTGGAAGGGCTTCGGAAAATAGTAATCCTCAGAAGTAGCTCAACATTTTTAGATATCGAGATATTCAGCGGCTGTTGAAAGTACAGACTCTTGCTAAAAGCAAGCGACATGTGAGCATCGTCAAATCTAATCCGTTCCAACTTGCTCTTCCACGGCGAGGCGCAAAACCTTGATGTCGTGTTTGCTATATTGGCCTGGCGATTAGGGCCGACGGAACACAGCCCATGACGAAGAGAACTTGCGCACTGATTTGACTAGTCTTACTCTCCTGTGACCTTCTAAGGTCACACAAGAGTAAGTGAGCTAGGCTCAAGTCCGATTTTACTGTTTGTAAGATTTCGTGAGTGAAAGAACGCCCTGACCACATTTCACAGGCGTCGGTTTGCGCCTGTCTTATTTACGGTTCACAGCGCCAGAGATCATACAATATGTGGCGGCCTTATTTTTCAGAACATCCGACCAGGCCAAAGGTAGCAGCAGTGCAAAGGTAATCTGACGGCAATGGCGTGTGAAGAAACACCACATTAAAATGAGTTCTTACCCACCACGATACATTGGCTATCACTATCTGCGTTTTCGAGGAAGGGAAACTTTGGCCATGCAGGCGGAGAATAGAAGTGCAACCAGGTAGCCGGAACAGAAGCCAGTTTCTGCTGGCCCTATCGATTTGAATGCAATAGCAGGCTCACAACTTAGAAATGCGGCGCTCGAGAAACGGTGAACGAAGGATCGAGGTGCGACAGAGTGCCGTAGCAGAAGGGCCTGAGGGCACCAGAAGGCACAAGTTACCTCTTAGCCTGAGAAATACATTAAATGGCATGCTTGGCCATCTGTTTGCAGCCTGCCAGCCGACTTCTTTGCTGTGGGGCGCTATGTGCCTCCGTACAGTATCGTGCCTGTCTTACCTTCGCTGGATAGATGGCTAATTTGGTTGTCCACCTTTGGACTCTGCCCCATTAGTTCACCGGTCGGACTCACCAAGAGGGCGAGCGACCCACTGTCGTTGGAAGGCATTGCAGACATGGCATCGGCAGTGCCATCAATTTCAGTTAATCCCACTAGTGCCTATCAAGGCAGGATCCGTTCGACCGATGACTGGCTACGCTATGTGGTTAGTTCGCAGGCTCTGCAGTATTCCTTGCGTGGTCGTGCTTTACCGAGTTCCGCACCTGGAAAAAATAGCACCGATGCTATCCGTGGAATAATATCAACGCGTTGTATCACTGCGGTACGAGCGCTCTGCGCTGTATAACCTTCATTCTGCACCACTATAGCATTATCGGTCGCCTTTCACCAAATATAGGTTTACATTTCCATCTTCTCCTTTTGCACTGCTCAGTACGTGCTGTTCTGATTTTGCCACTGATGCCTGCGTCGGGTCTGTTGCAGAAGAGCGGCCACCGCCTACAAACTGAGGAAAAGTTGAAAGGCGAAAAAGGAACAGATGTTAGCAATAGGTAGCGAACATCACACAATATGAGCAACGAAGTCGTAGGAATTGCTGTGAACGGTTCTTAGGCTGCCATAGGGACATCGGAGTTTGAATTGGGTTGATTCTCGTAGTTCTGAGTGGCAGGCAGGGTTAGGTGTCTGATAAATCAGCCACATAGATCAGCGTTAAATCTAAAGACACTACAGTGTCAATTGGCTCTGGAGCAGCTTGTAGCTAGGTAACACA